TGCACAAAGTACCTCGTCTGTGGCGTGAACTTTTCTCAATTCAATACTATCAACTGAATGCCCATTATCGTTATTCTATAAAAAAAAGTATATGAAATGAAAGTTTAAAATATATGTATGTATTTTTTTTTTAATTTTTGCTTTCATTATAACTGAGTTTTAGCGGGGAATCAATATTTAGATTAAAACCGCAATTTTAAAAACGAAAAAGTAGTTATAAAAAAAATTATATTTATACCTACTTATGGTTTCGTAGCTTAAACAAACTAGTGGTGAATATAAAACTAAACATATAAAATTTAAAACTTTAAATTTTTTTTCAATATCGCCTTAAAATGGCTTTACAGCAGTTTAACGCAACAATTACAACTTTTCACTTAAAACCGCTGCTGCAATACAATCTGAGTTGAACACACAAACAGCAACCGCAATATTCAAAGTTAACGAGTACATACTGTAGTTATTCATTGTTAGGTTTGCAATGTATGTATGTGAGTGGTATTGGGTTTATTGATATTCCATAGATATTAACTTTAATGCTTTGAACACTTCAAATTAACATTAACGCATCCTTCAAGTGTAAAAAAATCAGTATTCAAAAATATTATAATATTATTACATACTTATGCCGAATTTCCACTGTTCACTAAAATGTGTTTCATTTAAAAAATGTTAAATAACTTAGGGCCGTTTTCTCAAGTAGCTTTTAAAAGTTGAGTTTTCTTAAAAAAGGAAACGGAAAAAATCATTTTTTTACCCTTAAATTTCCTCAAAAATGTTCCAACAATTTTTTTAACAAAAAAATTTTATTCTGTTTGGGTAATTTGTTCTGCTTTTAGTAAAAATATTTTTTTCTAAGAACTACATTTATCCAAACAAATTTTTTTTTCATAGATGAGATAGTTACTTTCAGAAAACAATTTTTTCCAAAACTTTTTTTCAAATAATAATTTCTATCTAAAGAATGTTTTACTTGAACTGTATGTATTTTTTACTTTTGGTATAAATACATTACATTTTATGTTAAAAAAGCTACACAAAAAAGTTAAGCACATTATAAAAAGAGAAAACCTTAAAATAATTCAAACAGTTTTCTTATGAATGGTCTTCAAGGTTAAAGACTTTCGTAAAAATTTTGTTTTTAAAAGGCTGTTGAATTTTAAAAGCTCTTTGAACGAATTACCCTTAATGATTATGCTCTTTAGTACCCCACTTTCACATTCGAAATATTCGTCATTTATTGCACTGTGGAAACCCGGCCTTATATGAATAAACATTTTTTCAAATAATTAAAAAAAAAACGTCATATATGTCTTATGCCTATATAATTGCTGGATATTAATTTTATTTTCTCTTTATTTTGTATACATACGGAACAAACGTGCGGCATATGTACGAGCACTCCGCCCACGGAGTGTGGTTCCGGCTGTGGCACTGCAACTGGCACTGGTCCTAGCCACGAACGAAAAGTTAAACGAGAAACAAATATGGAATATTAGTCAGTTGTTTTGACGGTGAATTTGCAGATTACTTTTAATTTTCTTTTTGAAACTCGAATACACAGGGAATGCTAGAAAAGGCAAAACATATTTTACATGGGGTATGGTTGCAAGGAGTGGCTGGGGTTTATCTAGATTAAATCTTTTTTTTTTTGGGTTCGCATCTGGCTACAATTCATGCAACTATTATTTGAAATTAATTTTTAGTGACGCTCATTGCTTAAAAATTAAAAAAATAATATGTAAATATTTACAAAGTTGCTTTCAAAAACAAACAGCAAAATATGTACATACATACGTCTGTATGCATATAGTTATTTTTCTTATAAAAATACAAAAAATATATTATATAAAAAAAGACAAAAATTATATGTTATATAAAAAAAAGACAAAAAATGAAGCAGATTCACGCATGCATTGGAAAGTTTGTGTTGGTTTAATAATGTGCAATATAAGTGTGTACATATGTATGCAACCCTGATGATTTGTCTGTGTTGTCTGCATTTTTTTACAGAGCTGAGTTATGTTGGCAGACATACATATAAAGCATCCCCACAAAAACTTGGAATATTACCTGATCCGAAATACAGTAGTGACCAGATAAAGGTTGCCACCTACACTATTTTTCTGAGAATACGACAACGAATACGAAATGAAATACGAATACTAATACGAACACTAACAGTAAATAGTCTTTCGTAAGAAAAATGAAAGACAAATGACAAGATAGTTCGAAAGACTTTTGTTATTCTAGAATCAAATTCTTAGAAAGAAGCTGTTTCACTCACCACTCGCGTCACTCCAACAGTCGCAATGGCCGAGTGCGCAGAGCATAGGCGTGATGTTCGAAAGATCACGAGTTCGAGTCCGAGCGGCGGAACTTTTTTTCTTCTAATTTAATTAATTTATTTTCTTCTTTTAATTAATAAAGAAGAAAACATTTTTATTTAAATTTCATTTAATTTTTAAAACCATTTATTTATTTATTTTTGCTTTAATATTTTACTTAAATTTAAATTTATCACTTTTGATTGTTTTCAAAAGAGAAATATATATGTTTTTAAAATTTAATTAATTAAAAAAAAACACTTAAAAGGCGAACAGCATAACGCCAAGACCTCCTCGTTAGCAGATGTTTCAATTAGTCTTCCGAAAGACAGTAAAGAGCTTTTAAGATAGTAGCTGCCAGAATAGACAACTATTTTACGAAAGAATTTTGTCTTTCGGAAGAATATGGTGAGGTGAAAGAAAGAAAGACACGCGCTGACACTCTTGTATAGACAAACAAACAAAAATACTAAAAACTCAATACCAATCAGGGTGTCCAGTTTGTTTAAATAAAAAGCGCAATTTATGAAAAAAAAATCGCCCAAAAATCGCCAATTTTTTTTTTTTTAATAAAATTCATGAAATCAATTTGACAAATCTTTTATTTGAAAAATGAGATCTTGTTATAATATAGTTTTTAAAACCAAAAACGAATAGAATACCTTCAGAGGGTACAAACAATATTCTTTAAAAATACGCATACTTTTAAAAAATATTTGTTTCGACATATTTTGCAATAGGACTGCGCAATTATTAAATTTATTATAACTCACTCGCACAATCCGCTTTTAAGAGATCGGCGCTAAAAATTAAATAAAAACCTATACTAAGGCGAGATCAGCTATTTCAACAATTTTTTTGAAAATCACCTGTAGTGTCTAATCTAATTACATTTCTGTTGTTGTCACATATTGAGCTATTCAACCTTGATAACATACTTTTTGATATTGGAAACGTTTTTCAGCAGAAACTATTAGCCTGCACTTTATTCGAACTATTGAATTAAGGCTTTCCAACCTCATCCTATTTCGAATCTTAGTTTTTGTTGAATTCATTACTCAAAAAACGTGCTCAAAAAAGTGATTCACACACTTTTATGGTGACAAAATCAAAGATTTTAAGTCAAGTTTATCACGCAGTTCATTAGCCTCTTCGGTAAAATTATCGCGGAAAATTAAGTTTTGTATATTTTTATAATTGTAAAAAATTTATTTGAAGGGAAAAAATCGCCAAAAATCACCAATGGCGATTTCCTAAATATTTACGCGCAAATATCTAAAAAAAATCGCCAAATTGGCGCGAAGTCGCCAAATTTGGACACTCTGATAACAAATAAAATGTTTTGTATTAGCACAAATTCGCTGAAAGGTATATAAATTTGTGCAACATGGCGTATGAGTTTATTTAAAAAAAGTGTTACAGGCAAGACATATTGAAAAGGTAGTAACAGTAGAGCAGGCGATTCTTTTTTCTTGATTTTTTGGTCTCTAAAATGCCACATATTGTTAATTTTTTTTACTAAAGTTCTTCCTTCAAAATGCACGTGAAACCGTTTTCATAAAATAAAGCAATAAAAAACCACATTTGGAAATTTCACTTAACTTAGCAGCACAAACGCAACATTTGGGCCTTGCAAGGAATGGATCGATGATTTGAACTCAAACAAATTTGGTAAATTTTTTTCTCATAAATTGTTTTTTATTTTACATGGACGTAGTAGACATTTAAAAAAAAAAAACAGAATATTTCTATGACACTTTCGAGAGCAGAAGTAAGAACAAAATACACGTAAATGGGGTTTCTGCTCTGTTTCATCATCAACGCGAACCCTTAGCCACTTGCAACTTGCATTTTATTTATCCATAAAACTGCATACCCAAAATTTTTATACAAACGAAAAAAAATTGAATTTTGGTGATTTTTTTTTTATATTTTGTACGCTTTGGGAGAACCCTACAATTGTTTTCAACTAGTTTTTATTATGTAACATTTATTAATTGGAACAATCGAAAATCGATTTTCTTCACAATTTCTACTTTTTCTACTACATATTTCAAAAGTATTAAAATCTACTGTTACGGATGATACTACTTTAGTTAGCCGTAAAAAATGCTCTATTAGACCATCCAAAGGAATACATAAACCTCTTTGAATAATGGCTTATTGGCGTATAGAAGTCAACGAGCAAAAGTGGAAACATGTTACACTTGCACTAAGGCCGCAATTCCTCAATCTAACGAAGTTTAATATCTTGGTATTTGGTGAAAACATTTTACAACTAAGTTAATGCAAATGAAACTAAACTCAGTTAACTTACATTGGCTTCTATACAAAAAATCGGCATTGTGCTTAGACTATAAAGTACTGTTGAACAATGCAGTTTTAAACCAATGCGGATGTATGGTATTGAACTGTGAGGGTACGACCACTCGAACGAAACGCTCTGGTCGAGAACGCGAAAGGCATTAACAGAAAAGCCATGGTGTGTTTGCAACGACCCTACACACAAAGAAATACCCGCGGTCAAAGTCAGATAGAAAGCAGAGTGAAATACATAAGAAAAATACGATATCATCCCACGATGTAGCGGAGAGAAGGTGACACATTCCGCAAACCGCTACTTTGGTTTTGCCGAGTTTTACAGTTCTGGTTTTATAATAAACAACGCCCCAAAAGCTTTAAATCCACTGAAATCCACTATATTTTCACTAAAATCACATTCCTTTGCCTATTTTGTCCTTTATTTCAAAACTTGTCCCTTGCAAGTACTTTTTATAACACGATGTCAGACACTAATGCATTTTATTACAGCCCAGTAGTTACAAATCGCCAAGAAATGAGTTTATTCACGAATCTTATAAATTTTGTTAAAAATAGAAAATGAAGATTGTACAAAGCTTATTAGGGGTATTCTCCAAATCTTGCAAAGCCATTGCACGTAGCACGGATTGCATGGATTGCATAACTTGCAAACACACAACAACAAAATACATGGGGAACAACACTTCCTATCACTGCAAAATAAGCAACATCGAAACCCATGTATATATTTTGCAAAACAGCATAGCAAGATAAATGCGATCCTGTGCTAGTTGTTTTATTGTTGGAATTGCTACATATTTCTCTCATTCCTCTTATCTCGCTTACTTGATTTTTTTTGCTGTCTCTTGTTATTGGATGTCATAATTGTTATTGTCACATAATTTCGTTGATTGCTTCCAATGCATGCTACCACTTTGCAATGGGGTGCTCTCGTACTCTTCGAAATTTGGAATAGTATTTTTGCATTTCGTGCAATCCGTGCATCGTGCAAGACTTCGAGAATACCCCTATTGTGTTCTACGGGTTATACATCGCGGTAGGGATTCACAATAGCTTATGACAGCCACACTATGTAGGAAATGTAAAGAGTCACAATTCAGCCAGAAGTCACCATTGCTATAAATTAGAGTGACCTGATGTACATACATATATTGTTTCTACCTCCCCAAGTATATGATCCATTTATTTTCCGCACACAACGGATAACGCTGTTAAAACTCGAGGACTCTAAATCCGCTGGACAATCGTTTAAGCGGTGCTTCAGATTACATTGTCTTATTTAGGACAAGGCAAGACAGTGGCGGCATTAGAGCGGAAGCTATCACGCCAGCTTCATTTGAACAGTTTGCGTTGATAAATTCTACCTCTGAGCTAAACGAAAGACGATCAACGAAAACCGATCTGAGCCATAGTTCGTTTGAATATAGTTAGCTTGACGGCATTTAAGACAGAATTATGCAACTACAGATTAGTTCCCTTCCGGGCAAATGCAGTTTCCTGGAATATTTCTGTGCCTGGGAATCCTAGAATTATTACCTTCGAATGGGATTTGTTGCACTGTAGATTTAAAAACTAAAGTTCTGAACACATTCAAAGCTACGGTCAACAGCTTCCAATTTGTTATCTTCATTATCTAAACGCTTTGTCGATGGCGACATGATACCTTCGAATGCGGCAGCGACATCATGAATTTGGATGAGTTTGACATAAAAGAAGAGATTTATTCCGGCCACAACCACAGTTGTCGCGTAGCCCTGTCGTCGCCAAAATAATGTTCTACATAAGAATACGTGAAAAAATAATTTGACAGCTGTGGTCCGTAGCTCGTCGTTTTCATTGTGTTCGGGCTATAAGCCTACCGAGAAGACTGTGATTGAGTATTCTATTACAAGAAGCCTTCCTTTTACGCAGTTGTTTGCTTAAAAGTAATTCTGAATGAATTTTGCTTTGTAGAAGCTTTGTAGGGGTTGTAGAGAAAGGCCCCTTTACAATACTATGACTCCCAAGAAATAATGAGCCTTTACGTTAGCTGATTCACTATATGTCGCTACAGCCCCTTTTTTTAATATTAAGCTTCCGGTAAAGGTATACATAACGAAAATTTGTACTGTAAAATCCTCATTAGTGGCAATGTCACCACCATTTTCGCTATTGGAAATCTGTGGCATTTTGTCCTAATTTGTCAAAAAAATTTGTCTCATTTAATGCCCAGTGGAAATTCGGTATTATACCCGTACATAGTGTCTGTAGTAATAAAAGCGGTGGCGAAAGTGTGCTCGTGGTATATGTAAGTATGTACATTTGTTGGTGAGTGGAGTAAGTAAATAAACTGTGCGCTGCAGTGTGCAGGGTGCAAGTGACAGTGTTGCAAAATATTTGTTGCAGTGGCTAAAAGGAGTTATTCAGGTTTGTTGTTGTAAACTTGGTGTTGTCTTTTGCTGTTCAGTTTGAAGTGTTAGCAAATGTTGCTAATTGTTTTTAGAACTATTTAAAACATTTTTTTTTAAACATCAGCATCATTAAAAAATCAACGAAACGTTTAATTTGTCTTTACAAAATTTCTGCAGCAAAAATCAATCAATCAATTAATCAATTAATGAAAATGAAAGTAGTAAGTAAGTAAGTAAGTAAGTAAGTAAGTAGGTAAGAATGTTGAGTAGAGCAGAGCAAGAAAGAAACAAATAGTATAGGAATACGTGAATGCTGGTTGAATGCTGGGTTGCTTCACCTGCCATAATTATAATTTTCCCATCGTCTGAAAAGAATTGATCTAGCTTTAAGATGTCTTAAGGAATTAATTAAGCAAAAGTTTATGTTAAAGATTTATAATTAATATTTGCATTTTTTTGAATTGTTACGAAATGTTGTGATTATTGTAGTAGTAGTAGTAGTAGTAGTAGTAGTAGTAATAAAAGTTGTTGTATCGGTAGTAGAGTTAAAAAGTGACACGCAGTGTTGGGTGGGCGTAGGTTGTTTTTTATGAGTCGAGAGCACAGATAGTGAGAGTACGCGTTTATTGATGAGGAGAGAGATAGAAAGATAGAGAGATAGTGAGATAGAGATACAAGATACATAATAACAAAGTGAATTAAACGATTTTAAATTTTGCTTTATTTATATTTTGTCACATAGAAAGAAAAAAAATCAATAAATTTATTTTATTTATGCGTTCTTTGCGTTTACTTTTAAGTGACTATTTTTAATATTGATTATCATGAGTGGTGAGATTTAAACCGTACATTTGGTGAATTTAGTTGCAAAATTTACAAAACCAAATAGTTTAAGTTGTTGGTACGAGCGATTTTGCATAAGAAGTGAAAGTTCTTTCGGGTAATTTGGGTCATAGGTGTTACATATTTAAGTAAGAGTAAAACTTGAGGAAATATTACGAATTATTCATTTTATTTATTCAGAGCATTCAGGGTGCAAATTCTACTTTTTTTAAGTTTATTACATAAAAATTAAAATTTAAATTTTAAAAATTTAGTTTAAATTTATTATAAACGTATTATGTAGTATGCCAGTTTTTTAGCATATTTTTTCTCAATTTAATCGCACCAATAATGCATTGCATTTTTTTATTTATTTACTTTTTTATTTAATTTGTTTTATGATTGGACTAAAGGTGGACTAATTTTAAACAAATTTAACATTTAGAATACTATTTGAGCGTGTGGTTAACCGTTTAATTTTTACTAGCTATGCAATTAATTAACTAAATAGTTCACATTTTTTAATTTACAGTGGGCTATTTAACTTTACTTGGGTCAGTTTATTTTATTCAACGAATGCAAATGGAATCTTCTGCTTCACCACCTTACTCAGGGTAGATTCTTTGTAATATTTAGGCGAAAACTCCATTCATATGTGTAGGATTGATTAGCTGTGTGGGTGTGTGTATATTTGTCTATATATGTATATGTGATTAAGAATAGATAATTTAAATTAAGTCACCTGCAAAACCGCCTAGTGGACCCAATGGTATGGGCAATGGCGCCATTGAAAGCGATATATCGCGATCACGTGATTTCTCCTTATCACTTTCGGGCGGACTTTTACGTGAGGATTTTTCCTCTTCGATGATATCTTCAATTGGAACCTATGAGGAATGAAAAATCGTTCATGAATATTACGTTGCTGGCAAGGTCTCATAATGTATCTCATTGCGTTAATATTTTAGAGACGAAAATTTTTCGATGCATTTTCAGCTTTTCAAAGTATGGACCATGATGGTTATTAATTTCTATTTCAAAAATATAATTTTATTCTTTTTCAACAACTTCAAAGCACTTGAGGCCGTTTCCAATGAAAAATTTATGTGAAAAGCGACAAGCAGCCTTATAGGGAATTTACATGATTCAACTTTCACAGGCGATTAGTTGAACCAAAAGTTGAACGAAAGTAGGCAGCCGACCAACTTCATTGTAAGCGATTAGCTGAAAGGCCGTTTACACCAGGCGATTGTTGCTTTCAACTAAAAATCGCCTGAAAAATCGCCTCATGTAAATTCCCTGTTATCATGAGTTTCATTTTCGCCGAAACGGTTCAGTTTTGGTTTCTATGGTTTTACTATAGGCGGATGATAAATTTTCGGGTGAGTTTTTTGTCAGGCGAAACTCGGGATAAGGCAGAATAGTTTTATATTTTCTTCAACGAGTTCGCTGAGATATGAATCAGTAACTTCGGCATAAAAAGCCAGTATTCTACCAACAAAGCTAAGTTCGCCCCCTACAAACTGAGTTTGTTTTTTATACTTCCTCGAGGTAGTGATATCAAAAAAAAAAATTTATTTTCGAATCGAAATAAAAATAATCTTTGCAGGAGGAAATCGTCAAAAAATAAATCGATTTCCCAATATCGATATATATATATATATATTTTACTTAATTTTTATAAAGAAACAAACTACAGCTATCTGACCAACACTGAAATTACAAACATTTATTGTAATTAATTTTTAAAACGTATTTGCACAAGAGAAAAAAATTATCTTTTACTTCAAAATCAACGTCTGACATGTGTTTGCATTTCGGGAGCAATGCGAACATGCCCGACGGCGACGCTGGAGCAAGTGCATCTTTCTGGCTGCAAAGCGAACCCTCCTTAACTTTGCGAGGGAGGCATTCGGCAAAGACAAGGTGTTATCATCTAGGCACAAGGACAAGATAAACACCTAGCTCCCCCTAGCTTTGTTCCCCAGGGACGATATTAACAGAGAGGTGGTCTTCAAAAGAAACTTCAAGACCTACACTTACCTCTATTATGGAGAGTCACATACACGCGAGCACACTACAGTGGTACACTGATGGCTCTAAAACACCTTAAGGAATTGGAGCTGGCGCATACGGCCCCAGGCTGAAGCTTTCGGGGCCCTTGGGAACCTTCCCTAGAATCTTTCAAGCGGACGTGTATGCCATTAGTTTGTGTGCTGAAATTAGAGGAACGAGAGGATACTTATATTAAGCGATAGTCAGGCGGTACTTATGGCCTTCACATCTTTCGAGATCAAGTCCTTCTTGGTCCTGGAGTGTGTAGAGAGGCAGAGGTCAATGAGATTCAACTGATGTGGGTACCAGGGAACAGGGGGGGGGGGGGGTCGCAGGTAATGAGGAAGCTGATCATCTGGCCAGAATGGCCGCTGCCTCGACCCCGATAGGACCTGAGCCCTTCCTTGCAGTGGAATCCAACATTATAAAGGAAATTCTCAGAAAGGAAATACCAAATTGAGGGATCTTAACTGGCGTAACACCATGGGTCTACGTCAGGCGAAAAGCATACTAGGAGGATACGATCTGATAAGATATAGGTTACTCGTGGATCTCCCCAAGGAGAAACTAACAATAATAGCAGGGTTTTTGACGGGCCATTGCAGGCTTAGAGGGCACCTATATAAACCAGGAATCTGGCCCAGCGACCTGTGTCGCTTTTGCGTGGCGGCCAAGGAGACTCCATTACACCTTCTTATGGAGTGTGAGGCCGTTGCACGCAGGAGAAGTAGGATCATAGGGCACCTGTGGCCAAGAGAGGAGCACATACACTCCCCCCGGCATCTATTATGAAATTTTTAGAGTCTCTGGTGCTGGTCGAGATGTTGTGATGAGCTAAGGGCACAATAGACCTACCGGTCGCAGTGCTACACCTAACTAACTATCTATCTACTTCAATATTAAGTGGTATTTTAAAACACTAAACTACACTGGCCCAATAAAGCATAGATTTTTTTTTACAATACGGACAATTTCTGAACTTTCTTCTTTTTGCTAACCTTAAATCTCACTCCTTAATTACCCTTTTTATAAAATCATTTAAGAATACAGTTTTTCAGGCCATTGCATTTTAGTTAAATGGAGTGCAATTTTGATTTCTGGCAATTTTCTCCACTGAAGATGCTGCTCATTTCCTCCTTAGCTCGAAATGGTTTTTTATATGGAAGAAAATGTTACGCTTTGTTACAATTGTATCATTTTTGATACATTCTTTTCTAAGTTTTACTTTTTGTTGGCAGAAATGAATTTTTGAAAACTATAATATTACTAGTTTAAAGGTAAATAATTTTTTTATTGTTATTTAAAGTCTTAAAATTTTATATGTAGATATTTGGCAACCCTTATAAGGGAAATACAACTCGGAATTTCTTTGCACACGCCGCTGTTATAGGGCCTCTAAACCACACAAAAACATTGCGCAATATCGGGCATGCGTGGGTCGTTTGTATGGTGTATGGGGTTGTTTGTACAAAATTTCACAGTTATTGCGCTAAGATCAAAATCGTTTTGATATTTTGCTCATGCTTGTGTTATTTTAAAATAATTTGTGTTGCGTATGGCAAGAACTGCGCAATTGCGGCTTTTTAAAAAAATTTTACATTTGTAGTCCGGAGTTACGATAGCTCGTTCATACAACTTTGTTTGCAACGTTGCCATTTCGCCAAAAATGCCACTTTGCGATGTTTTATAAATCGCACTTCTGTTTTTGTTAAAGCAAGTAATATAATTTTTTTTGTAACCATGGATCTCGGTAACTGCTACTTTTTTCAAGCTCGCGGTGACGCTGTTCCTGACATATTTAAGCTTGCGCCCATAAATTCAATGGGCTATAGAGCGGCATTCTTATTTTTTTCAAGTAAGTGCAAAATTTTAGCAAAAATATCCACAAAGTTTGAAAATCCAATTTTTGTAGTTTTTATTGTAGTTGAAAAAATGGGAGTTGCCAAGCCTGCATTTTTTGTATTAGTCTCAAGGTCAACTTTCTTAAGAATTGTATAGATTTTACAGGGAAATATGCATCAATTGATGGAAAATCGAATGTCGATTCTCGAATTTTTTGGATCGATTCACGGATCGAATCGGAAGTAGTAAATCGACAAAAAAATCGAATGGGAAGGGCTCGATTAATCGATATATGATTTAATCGATATAAAAATGGCATCTCTACCTCGAAGTCGCCTAGGCATAATTTATATTTATTTATATATTTTTGAAATAAAATTGCAATAAGTTTACTTCTACAAGCGTAAAATAAACGTTTTTGGAAAAAGCTTATTTAAAGTTTTTAAATGCAAATAACACAGTTTTCCAAAAAAAATTTCTGCATATCGAATCCCTATTCGACGCCCTGAATGCGAGTCCGAGGTCTGTTAGCCTCCATCACGTCAGGTTCGAGGTCACTTGAACGTCGAGTAGGGAAAAATTCATTGAATAAACCTGAAAAATCAATACAATTCTTCTGAATTTGACCTTGGGATAACTTTGACCCGACCTTTAGATGGCCGTGAAGAATCAAGGGACCTCTACATTCGGATTTATCGACAAAAAAAAAATATTTTTATTGAAAAAAAATTGTATTGCGTAAATTTTTTGTACTATTTGGCCCTCAAATGACCTCGAACCTGACATTATGGAGGTTAACGAACCTCGGATTCTGCTTCAGCGAGTCTAAAACCCCATATACTTATATGAATTTTCAGGTTTATTCAATGAATATTTCCCTACTTGACCTCGAACCTGAAATGATGGGGGCAAACAAACCTCGGATTCGTATTCAGTGCGTCGAATAACACAGGGCTATATAGGTTTGGTTCAATATGCAGCAACATTTTATAATTTTTATAAACCTGTGTGTTTTCTCAGCGAAAAAAAATATAAATCATAAAAAAATGATTAAAGGCTGATTTAAATTATTTCACTCATAATGATTACCGTCCCTGGTCCGTATTAACTTAATCCGATTAATTATTTTCCGCCTTCTAATTTTCCCTTTCTGTTATTCTTTCTAAGTACAAATTATTTTAGACAACTTACATCTGGGGGTCGAACTGGATTAAGTGGTGCCATGAATTGTACCAATTTGGTAGATAGTTGGTGCCACATGATGGATGCTTCGCAGTAAGCACATTCAGCCACCTAAGGGGAATAAGGAAAGAATGAAATGTGTTGTTAATTTCCTCAATTAAGCACATCAACTTAGTTACCTTAAGTGAGCAAACGTGACTGCTCAGACCCACACGTGCCGCTGTGACCATGCACTTAATCAAGCGTGAAACATTCTCGCAAACGCTAGTGTGTATGCCCATGTGCTGTTCGACATCCTGCAGCTCCATTTGCTTCAACAATATATCCAACATTAGAATGCAGCAAGTGAGATTATGTTCGGCATCGGTAGAGAATTCCGTGTGTCGATTAGTAGGTGCTTCATCGTCAGAAATGGCGGATGTGTTGCCCGAATCATCTTCGACAACGGGAGCTGCGGAAAAAAATTGTAAGAATGAAAACGCGTAGCTAATGTCTTTAAAGGCAAGCTTTGACCGGAGCTTAAGAACTTACAAATCGAGCTACGTCGTGGTGGATTGCCCAATTCATTCTTCTGCTCCTTTGATGGTGTCTTTGGGCTCTTAGCCTGACCCTCCTTCTCGCGCATTAGCTCATGTTGAACGCCATATTTCATGATGCGTACACCGTCGCCGAACATGGCGAACAACTGCACCAGCGGTATAAGAATGCCCAGCTTTGTGAGTATCTGTAACCAATGCAAGGCTTGCTGTTGGACCTTTGCAGTCGTTTTTTCGAAGCGTATGGCCACAAAGTTGTACATGGTTTTGGCGTCAAAGCCGAGTGGCGACATTTCGGGATCAAGTATTTTACTCAGCACAATTTTCAGTTCATGTAGCTCCTTTTCGCCTACATCGTTGGTGATAGCTTCCATCCAGTGTGGCATGACATAGTCCCAGATTTCAGAAGTAATAACTTCATAGGGCACCAAGCAGATGAGACGCTGTAAGCCCTCTTTGAGATGACTGGTACGCGAAGCTAACGTCTCCCAATGTCCGCCCACGCGTGCGTACTCTGGTGGATGTGGTAGCAGGCAGGAGATGAAAACCTAAGGATTAAGGCTTAGTAATTGTGAGTATTCGAGACTGCAAGACTACGAGCTTACATTGTAATGTATGCGGCAAATCTCTTTCAACCAATTGCAGACATGCTCTACCTTAAGCTTCTCGATGGTGCTCTCAATTTGACTAGCCACTGCGGAAAAAAAAGTATGTTAATTTATTTTGCATCCAAGTATATCCTACACAATTTACCATCATACGAGCACGCAGTCACGTGGAACCAATGGAACAGCATACTCAGTATGCGTCCCAGCACCTCGACTGGCATTTCGGGTGTCGGCGTGCAGCGGCCCACCAACAACCAAATGCCATAGCGACCCAACATTTGTCGCTCTTCCAGCGATATGGTGTCTGGTGTGCCGTTGCCACCGTTCTTCTTCGCATCCGAACCATCCTTGCCGGGCTCAAAATTGAGCGGCTTAGCCTCGCGTAGCAAACTAATCACGGACTCCACCATATGCATCTGAATCTCGGGATCCATCTGCCAGATGATTTGGAGACTACGATGCACCACATGATCGCCACCGCGTCGCGAATTGTGTCGATTGCTGTGACATTGCGCGCAGTAACGTATCGGGTGGTTTCCATTATAGCTGGCACACTCGGTGGAGAAACAGATCGAGAAGGCTGCCTTGTCGGTGGAGCGGCAATTCTTATTCTCACATACCATGGAGACTTGCTGCATGGGATGGAGAATGTCACCGAATCCGAGGTTAGCATGCTTGCGATGGATCTCATTGGCGCATTCTATGCAGAGATACAGCGGGGGCGGACATTCAGGGGCATAGCTGATGCTGATGCTGTGATCGAAGCAAACTTTGGCCGCCTCCGCATTGCCAGCATTGGGACACTGTTCGCATTGACACACAAAGGGTACCATATCGTCTGGAGAATGTAGAAGCATTTGAAATGATAAAATTCAGAATGGATAAGTGTCTTAGTTAAGGAAAGGCGCCGGAACGTACTTGTTAATTTCGACAGCAACACTTTACGATCGAACAAATTGGGATCGAAAGCTGGCCAATAGTAAAATAGTAGCTTGGCTGCAGAAGAGCGTGATATAGCGGTGCCATAGGCAATAACACAAAGTATATCCTTTACAACGTTGTGCTTGAGAGTCATGAGGCATTCTAGTAGCTGGCAATGATGTGCTGCAATTAAGTCGGAATAGATTCAAATGTTGTTAGTGGTATGTCAAAATGGGAGCACTGAAATTCAGGTCGATTACCGGGATTATGTGAGTACTGAAGAACCATCATGATGACAGAAGAGACAGCCTGACATGCCTGACATTCTTGTTCGTCAGCGCTCCGCCGGGCTGGGGGAGAGACCAAATAAGTAGTGCTATCATGTTTGAATTTTAATTTAAAATTCAAGAAATGTGGTATCATCTGTATGTTATGCCATGTTATGTTATGCTATGTTATGTTAGGTAATGTTATGCCATGCTATGTTGTAATAGGTGATGTTATGCTATTCAATGTTTGGTATGTTATGCTATACTTTGTTTGTTATAATATGTTATGTTATTTTATAATATGCTATGCTATGCTATGTTTGGTATGTTATCTTGTGTAATGTCATATTGTGCTATGTTATGCTAAGATATGTTGTTATGGTGTTATGTTAAGTTATGTTATTTTATGTTATGTTACGTAGCGTTACGTTATGTTACGTTGTAATATGTTACGTTTTCGTATGCTAAGTTTTATTACGTCATTGTTACGCTCTTTGTTCATACTTATAGTAAATGGTAAAATATAGTAGCATAGTGCATTAACGATATCCTGATGTAGAGCTGGTGGTAGTACAGACATAGTAGAGCTGGCCAAATAGGGTAAATTATCAATTAAATCCTTATCGAGAAAAGGTAGTATGCAGCAAAGACACTGCAACAGAGCCTTTCCAAACGCTAGAAAAACGAGAATGATTTAAAAAAAAATTAGTACTTTAATTTTTTCACTCACCGATTTGTCCATATTGTATGCACGGCGCCACGTCGATAAGCATTGTTAGGGCATTATAAAGGTTACCGTATTCGAGATTTGGATAGGCTGACATGCGTGTGGGATCCTCGGAGGGGTCGCGTATAAGTTCATGTGGTGAGGTGCGTACATCTTTGAGGACAGCTACGAATAATGGGGGAGACAATTTTATTAATACATATACATACCTACATTCATACTTTGTATAAGTATTAATTGATTTTTAAAGTCACTGCTGTGTAAACTTACTTAGTAGGGTTTGAGAAAAGTATTTGATATTGTTAGCAATATCGACGCCAGAGGGCGCGGGTTGGGTATTTTGTAGCAGGCGTACATGCGAATCGTGGAGACATCGCAATTTTGCTTGGACTGAAACAGGTGGAAAATTCGAAATACATATGTATTAATAATTCAATATATTTTTTTCTATCTGAAATGGTAATACAAATTTTCTTCCATTCTACTTATAAATCTCTTCTGGCGATTTATAGTTTGAATTTGGCAGATGAACACTGATTTTCACTATAAAAGTTCAAAGTTAAATGCCAACGACGAAAAATTAAATAACATCAAATTTTTCCACAGAAATGGAAATAAATTAACGCAATTTTGATAAGGTCTCCTGTTTATATATGGGTCATTCCATTCAAAGTTTTTTATAAAATCTCAAATTAAAAAGTTACCCCTTTTGACCCCTTGGTCGTCAAGATTTTTGTTTGGAAAAATGTGGGAAATCTTATGCAAATCAATAAAATATATTTTTTTTAAATAATTTTTTAAATAATCTAAGCGCCCTAAAATATAATTAATTTTAGTCACAAAAATGGCACTAAAAGAGGGAGGCCGCCCAGTGGATTTCGCTCCTATGCCGATCTATTCTGACAGCCAGGCTGTTATTACATATTTTACAACCAACGGAAAATATCCAAGGCAGCTCCTTAACAACTTTATGGCCGATGAGCTGGGGCGAAAGGGACACTAATATGCGTGGTGAAAAAATGTCGCTTACGTCTTTCTGGCGGTTAGGGCTCGATATTTCAATTAATTGATAAATTATGTAAGTTGAATTTTACTTTTTAAAAAGGTGGCAACCCTACGATATATAATTCAGTAATAGGGCCTTTTGAAACCTATTTTGATTGATACCATATTTAAAAAATTAATTTAACTTATAAAATAGTTTAAATTCAGATTTTTAAACGAGTGGCAACCCTTTTAAGACACTTTTAAAATATATCAATTGTTCAAACTAAATATTCTTCAAACTATTTTATTTGACACTCATATTTTAACATTTCATGCAAACTGAAATTTTCTGAAATCTTTTTCGCCTGACAGTGTGATAGATATTTCAGTGCAGTGATGAATTAAGTTTGACTCTTGAAACAGGTGGAAACCTCCTTCGAAATGTTTTCAAACTAAAACCTTCCGGAATCTCATTCGTCTGACATTGTGATACATATTTCAATTAAGTGGTAAATTAAGTTGAATTTGACTTTTTAAACTGGTGGCAACCCTCTTACATACATAAAAACATATGTATATGTAATTTAGAAATAAAGTCTTTTCAAAACTATATCGATAATCAAAATATAAATTTTTAAACAGATGGCAAGCTTGAAGAGGCAAAAGACATTCTATATGTTCGTTTTCGTGTGGCACCTATGTATATTTGAATATTTCTAACTTGATTATACTTTTATTAAATTCGACTTTTCAAACATGTGGCAAAATATTTTCAAACTAAAACCTTGAACCTCTTTCGTCAGACACCTATATTGAGACTGATTGAGCACATCTTCTCTAAGTAACAACAATAATTATAATTAGTGTGAATGCGTTGCGTTGACGATAAATTAAAGGATTATTTAGAAGCTTACATTTTTGTTCCCGTCCACCGATTTGAAATATGAAATTTGGCTAACCCCTATAGCCATGGACGTAGCCAGGTAGCTTAATAATCAGAAAATGGTAGCTTAATAATTTACCTTCGCTCCGCCCTAAATTTCATTCTGGCTGCACCCATGCTTGCAGCTAGCACTTTAATTTGATATGTAGCTGCCTCAGAACGCCCGGAATTCCTCGCATGACCGAGGAATTAATTATATATGAATGGTTATTATTTTTATATTTTTCTTTTAAATTTTAGATAAACAATAAAGCATTTGCAACTTACAAGCAGCTGCGCGAGTGCCCATGTTGACAAGTTGATTTTTGAAGGTATCAGACATTATATCAGGCAAATCCTTCCCATCGCCAAAGCCGCTCCCAAAGCAGTTGGCATTCTGTGAAGTGAAGAAAATGTAATATTTATACTTAAAAATTGCTAAATAAGTTTATTTGGTTGTTACTAAGTGGTTTTCACACTTTTGTATGCTTTATTGAACAATTTTCACAATTTTTATTACAGTTACGTAACATTGCAAATAGCCTACGCCCTATTTTTAATGGATGCTGTGGAGTCTTACCCTAAACTAGGCCAGCAATCATAAAATCCTTGCAAAAATTTTCAGCACTAATGAAAGTAAAAGCACTAGGCAATAAAATAACAATAAACTCACCTCGAAATTTGTTAATTTTTTGAATAAATTTGCAATTTTTCAAAAGGTATTCGTAACAAACGCACTGCAGCTAACCAAATCTCTACCCAAAGTGTTTGCAAGTGAAAATTTTCGCGTGTATGTATCCAGCAATTGCAGTTATCTATACAGTGAAAGTGATGAAAGCGCGGAGCTACACTGCTCAGTTGGGGGGGTGAAATGTGTGGAAGACCTAACAGCTGGTTTGAAAATAGTTACAAATTTTTTTAATAACAAAAATAGGAGTTGCTCTTATTTTCAGTTAAAATCTACTTGCCAATTGAATGTAAATTTAATAAGTTGAAATAAATGAAAATTTAGTAAGTTTTCACTTAAACACTAAAAATATCACTTTCTCTCACTGTTTCGCCACAAAGTTCAGCTACGACATACCGCTTCTCGGCACTCAACCCCCATTTTAACTTCGCTGATAAGAGTTTTCGCGTATGCGTAAAATCAATAAATACCTTCGCTGCCTTACAGCTCCCATCCGAGTTCCTCTTCAGCCTCTACTAACGTCGCGCTACTTAACCTCTTCGAGAGCAGCTGCTTGCCACAGGACATGCGCTTTGGCTCTGGTCGCTTGTTTTGTTTACATTCAACATGCTGGTGTATGTGTGTACCAGGCAGTGTTACCAGATTTTTTTTTCCAAAAAAATGATAATATCCAAAAAACCGTATTTTTGGCAAAAAAAAAACAGTATTTTTGGCCAAAAAACTGTATTTTCGGCCAAAAACTGTAACCTTCAAAACTAAAGAGAGTTTTTAAAAAGTGAAAGTATTTCAATAACAAAAGCGAATCATTTACATAAAATAAAATAACATAAATATATGTAACTCAATACCCATAAACAGGTACCAGTATTCGAGAAAAAATAAACTGCCCGTATTTTTTTGTTGATTTTGTATTCAAAAATGTCAAAAAAAGTAAAAAAAATCTGAATTTCAGAGAAAAATGTATACCAAAATGAGAATTAAAACTGCAAGCCTGCTGCTGCTACCTATTTAATGTACCCTGACTTAACCTAACAAAAATAGATTTTATAAAATATGACATCTAAATCACAATTTGTTTTAATGAAATTGGGTTTCGTTATTTTTCGTAATTGCCTTGTTAATTTTTTAAGCATTTGATTCGATGCCTCAAATTTAGTACAACTTGAAGCACTTTTTTAAATAAATCTTTAGTTCTTAAAACACATAAGAGAGCTGGAATTTCTAGTTTACTTTTTGTTTTATTCAATTTGATATGGGAAAATATTTTTTTCATATTTTCTGTGACGACTGGTTCTTCGTCGGTCCCCTTTTATATTAAAATTTACTTACAAAAACCCGAAAAGGAAATTTTAGTTTATTCGTTCAAACCGGATATTTCGATGTAATTTGTACTAGGAGGTAATTTAAATATTTGTATTCTTGTTTCAAAAACTGCAATTTACAGTTAAAACTGTGAATCTGGCAACATTAGTTCCGAGTAAACTGAAGCAACAAGTGTTTGTTGCTGTAAATATTTACATTGTTTTGCATTGTTATTTGTATGGCTCTTATCAACAAAGCAGCTGCCGGTAAACTGCGCCGGCTCAACATTTTGTTTACAAACATTACTCAGCTGTTAGACTCTTATCAATTTATTTTGTGAGTGTATTTGTGTATGCTTGTGGATTGTGGGTGAGTGAGGTGGTGGTATGATTAATCAACAGGTTGTAACAGCATTTTGGAGTTTTGGATCTTGCGCATTGAACATTTTGTTGTTTTGCCGGTTTTTTCTCCAGCTGATAACAATAATTACACTCAAGTATGTTTGTACATATGCATATATTTGTAAGTATCCATATATGTACATTAGGGGGGGGTACTTAAGTGTTTTATATCAGCTTTCCTAAGCCTCAACCCCGAAGTCGATGGTACTATAGGTATCACATATAAAATTTGGTCCCGATTGGAGACGGTTAATTAAAATTTTTTTTCTATCTCTCTCTATAGAGGAATCTGAACTTTGGCCCCTGTGCGACACGCCTTAACCGCCTCCAATCGGGAACAAAATTTTTATGTGATATCCGTGACTGTGGTATTACCGACTGAGGGGGTGAGACTGAAAAAAATCGTTTATTTGATTTTTTTAAGGACCACCCTAATGTTCTTACATACATGTTCATAGGTAAGCATTCGTGAGGTTTTGTAAGAACGCCACTTGGTGGTCCGAGGCTTCGCCACAAATTTCGCATGTAACAGACCCAGGAAAACTTTATTAAGTACCTTTGTAAGTGGTATGTCAAGTGAGAATAGGGTGCTTGCAAGTACATTTTGGTACTCACATCCCTGAATGCAGGTTAGTAACGCAAAGGCGGAATACGTTTAGTATGATAACACAAAACTATCGAGGAGCCTTCGACTCAGTAATTAATAAAGTAGTCAACTTTGAAAAAGTAGACTGCGCTATAAAGTCGTTTAAGCCCTACAAATCTTCGCGGCAGATGAACGGAATATTCCCGGTACTGCTATCCAAAGGACAAAATAAAATAAGTAAAAAAATGGTTATAATCTTCAGGTCTTGCCTGGCATTGGAACATGTTCCAAGAAGTCAAGGTAATCTTTTTAACAAAGGAAGGGAATAAACCCTCAGACTTTCCAAAATCCAACAGGCCAATTCGACCTTCATCTTTCATGCAAAAGACATTAGCAAAAGCAAGAATGATAGAATAAAGAGATCGCGCTTTGCGCAGGTCCGTTACTCTTGTTTACAAATCAGCTGTTCGAGTGTTGACGTCATAATATAAAATTTTTGGTGGGAAGCGTATTGGTTTGCGAGGGAAACGTAATGGTTTGCGAGGAAAACGTATTGATTTGTGATATTTTTGTTAAAGTTATAAAATAAAAACGTTGTAAAATGAAGTGCGCAGTTGCGAAATGTGGAAAAAACGGCGGCAGAGTGCAGTTTTTTTACTTTTCCTTCAGATCCAGAACTTAGGAAAAAGTGGATCCAGTTCTGCCGGCAAAGCAAGGATTTCCAATTTAAAACTTGCTATATTTGCATGCATCACTTTGCAAGTGAAGATTTTGAAAATAGTCTGCAGTTTGAAATGGGTAGGATGTTTATTTATTTCGTTTATTGTGTTTATATTAATGAAAGTGTTTAAAACATTTCTAAGGTTATGCAAAAAGAAGATTGTTGAAACGAGGCTCCGTGCCATCAATTTACAAGCCCGGTGATGAAAACCCGGAGCGTTCGCAAAGAGTTCATCGTCGTCAAAATACGTCGTTAATATTGGGTTTCATTGGAACGATATCCTTATTTGATGCTGTGGGCAGGCGTCACAGTTTCAGGTAAAAATTCTTGCTTATGCCTTGGCAGTTTAATTTTATGTTGGCACCGTTTGCATTGTATTTCCTGAAATAAGTACGCATTGGAAGTTAGTAAAAAGTAATGTATTGTCGCAGATGCTACTTACCATGCTATGAGCACGCCCTTGCTCAACGACTTGGCCCTTTTACGCTGTTTCCTGGTTAGCGCTCTTCGATTCTCTGTAGTCTTTCTGGCATCGTATAGCTTCTATATTTGTTTCGAAGCCTTGGAGCTATGCACTATTTGCTGTGGCTTCAATTTCATTTGGAAATCTTACTCGTTCCATTTACCAGCGCAATGGCGGCCACAGAATGCAATTTTTATTTGAAATAAAATAATAATATAAATAATGTAAAAGAAACACAAAATAAATTTACCGTCTTCTCGATTCAATAAATTGCCACCAGATTGTTTTATTTTAGTCTTTCAACTAAATTTTATGCTATATTTACTTTTTTTCGTCGAAATTGTATGCGATTTGACAGATCGCCAACAACAACTTTTATATTATGACGTAGATGCGCAGAACGAAAAATTTTTGCACCCCTATCGGCGCAATCTTTGTATTCTATCATTCTTGAGGAAAAGTACTGGATCACCATGTAAGGGAGAAGATACTCCCTCGTTATCCACTACATGAGCCCCAATATGCTTATCAAAAAGGCAAATCAACAATTGCGACACTTCACTCCATCCTAGCTAGGAATGTTAATGTGTTTGTTAATGTTAATGTTTAAGGTCCCGAAAATCTCGCGATTCTTGGCACATAATCCCGGGATTTTCGGGATTTGTAATTTGCACTGACGGCAATAATAGAAACTCCTTTTCTGGACCGGTATTGGCTATATTTCGTTTTTTATTTAATAATTAATATTTTATATTTATGAATGTCTAGCTCACTATATATATAACACCACTTGATAGTAAAATTTTAACACAAGTATCAATATATTCGCGAAACCATGGGCCAAATATAGTAAAATTGCGTCTTTAGTTTTTCACTCTGACGTCAGTAATTCAAAATTGATTTAAAAAATTTAGAGAAATGTGCTTTCAGAAAAAGTATGGGTATAAAATTAAAGAGGAAATCCTGTAGAATTTAAGTAGTTTCAAATATTTGGTGCAGACGGACTGGTAAGTATTGAAAATGTAATTTTTATTCTACACTGAATTGAATTATTTATTTAAATAATTTTTGGAATCAATCATATCTTTGAAATTAAAAAGTCCTTTGAAATAAATCCTGTCAGAGAGAGAAAAATACAAACGCCACATTAAATAAAAAAGTAGGTATCAAACCCATTTATTTATTATTTATTTTATGGTAGGAGAGCTTCTCAAACAATATGGAAGCAATTTTTTCGATTTAAGTTGTTGAAAAGTAATGAATATCCAAATCCCGGGATTAATCCCGCGATCCCGGAATTGTTATAACGACATCATGAAAATCCCTGGATCGAAAAAAGCTGAAAAATTAACATCCCTAATCGTAAGGTAAGTGTAATAGAAAAGGCATTTGCAACGAAGGGTATTGGTCTTTGCTCATTCATGAACATTGAGGTGCCTTTGATAATAATAATAATAACAGAAGACGCGTACGCAATGTGTTTGGCCGAGTTTCTCACCTAGATGTTGTATTTTTATAAGAAGCTGTTTTTCATGGTAGAAGACACTCGAAGGTTTGCCATTGCCTGCCAAGGGACGACCGACATAAGAAAAACCTTCTTTATGTCGAATTTTTTGATGTTGGTTTGAAACTGGGAGTGAGCCCAGGCTCTGCGGAATGGTAGCGCACACTGCGAACCACTACATCGCAGTGACCGCCTTTGAAAATGCCAGTTTCAGATCCATGGAAGTGACACCCTCCAATAGAGGTGTCCAGAGGACAATTAACGCGGACCTAGGTCCGAAGGAGCTAAGCATAGCTGCAGTAAAAGGCTATAGCCTCTGATGTGGTCTGTACTGTGGCTGATGAAGCTAGTTGAAGTCCTCAAACGAAAGGATATCAAACCATAAGCTACGCTGATGACATACAAATACCATTAGGGACTTGATGCAGGACCTCCTAAATGTAACTTGCAATTGGAATGAGGGATTGTCCTTAAATCCCAATAAAACTACAATTATCCTTTTACTAAACATAACTGGGACTTTGATTCCCCTAATGGAAGAGGTTAAATATCTAGGCATAACCCTGGATAGAAAACTCACATGGGAGTCACACCTCGACTCAATTATCAACAAAGCAACGAAATCGCCGTTTACCACTAAGCAACTCGTAGGAAAAAAATTGGGGGTTTAATGCCAAAATGACCTTCTGTGCTTATACTGAGATATTGCGCATAATAGTGTATGAACCAAGGACTTGCATACCTATCTGTAATAGGGGCAATGAAAACAGCACTCACTGCAGGTATGGAAGTCATACTCAATCTTACACTACTTCTTGTGGTAAGAATTCATGCAACGTAGGAAAAATAAATTCAAACAAGGCAACCTTGTCGGACACCTTGAATTCTTAAAGGGAAAGCATGACCAAAGTCCTTTCTCAGACCAAATTGATCCCATCCTTAGCTTAACGAACAAAAATATTTCCTATTCGTGGAGATTGGAGTAGAAACCCCACGTGGCTGCACCATCAGTGGTATGATAGTAATGAAACAGCGGACTTCCAAGCTAAAAAAGACATACACACCATTTGTTGAGCCTAACAAATTTCTTGGATTCAACAACAATGATACCTAGAGAGACCTCAACAAGTTGGCAGAATCCTGCACTGCTAGCCATTGGGACAAGTTAGAGGGACACCATCAATCAAAGAAGTTGCTTTGCTTCAGTGAGAAAATAACTCAATCTGTGCTCATTATGTGGAGTACTAACAGTTCGCTATGTTTGGCCTCCGCAGTACAGACATCTGCTAGCTCATTGCAGAGCCAGCCTTTTAAACGACTACACGCTCAGCGATATCGATATTATACAACTAAAGTTGAAAAAGGAGGCACAACATATCAAATCTGGTCGCGGTGAAATAGGCCTGTAGACCTATCCTTATCCTATCCTTATCATAACCAAAACCATAAGTATATTTTTGGTACTTAGCACATTGTGATACCATAGGTTGAAGAGCTTTTGGGCAGCTTTCAGCTGATGGAGTTTTGATTAAGATCTAATTGACTTTTGAACTCCCTTAACTTTTTGCACTGTACATATCGTTACCCTAATATAGAAAGGTCCTATCACACATCGTTGCTGAAATGCCAAAAAGCCGCAACTAACTAAAATTTGCTTGTTATTTATTTGTAGTGAATTTCGGATATCTAGTTAGTTAGTCCTCTTTCAGACACGTCAAGTCTTGAAAGCCTTGTTTATCGCATTCTCTGTTGTGTTTTCCCTTTGCTTCCACACGCGTCAAGTTTTATTGAATTCAAGTCCTTGGTTCCATAAAAATTTTGTATTTAATGAGCTGCTCACTATACAAGTTGGGGCCCTCCCAGTAAAAATCGTCTCGTTGTAATTATACCTTTCATGAGCATGAAATGGTATTATAACTTTGGTCCGATGTTTGTAAGTACCAGAATAAGAAGAGATAGACCCATTAAAATGTATACTTAAATGATCAGAACGTCGAGCTGAGTCGATTTAGTCATGTCCGTCTGTCCGTCTGTTTGTCTGTCTGTCTGCCTGTCTGTCTGTCTGTCCGTCTGTTTGTATGCAATCTGGTCTCTCAGTTTTCGAGATATCCGGATGAAATTTGGTAGGTGGGTGTATTTTTATAATGTATTAATCATTTGTCGGAACCGGAAGAATCGGACCAGTATAACATATAGCTCCCATACAACTGATTGTTCATTTTAGTACTCGGTCCTGGTTGACCATTCTGTGGAAATGCTCATATGGTCTTTAGTTGTGTCTTACTTGAATTGATTTTAAGTATTAAAAAATCATAACTTTTAAGTACTTTGTTTTGTTAAAAATGTTAGGATACTTTTGAGCTCTCGGTCTCTTGGGCCGGGACCCTCTCGGATCGGGAGCGCGTGGCATTTTGCAAGTCAGAAGATTACGAACTCTTGGTAAACCTTGCAAAACTTGCTGGTATCTCACAGGTGGAAATAAGAGCTCCTAGCATCGAAGGAGATTAGTAGATATATAGGAAATGTTATCTCAGTGCCATTATTCTTGGCCTCTGAGTAGGTAGGTGCTGCTCTTCAGCCACTTCAACCTAAACTAATAATTTTTACATTACAAGCCGTCTTGCGTTGCGTGCGTTTCAACACTATTTTTGTATTGACAAGTTCTTATCAGGCTTCGCGAAGCAAGCCGTGCATTTGCTAGCTTCCTTCCATTTAAGTTCTTTCTAATCAGCGTGGAAATTAAAAGTGCCCGCACCTCGTGGATGTGACTACCCTTACGAAGGTCATACTATAAGTCTAATCTTTCAAGAATTGTTCAACAAAGAGAACGCTATGTCACTTATTTAAAATTGATGGATTTCAAAGATTATTGGTCTGTGTACGTATGTGTGTAGTTAGCAAGGAATTTCTTTCATCCCTTTGCTAAATTTGGTTTACAGACAAACCAAAGGGATGACGAAACTCGTTCCAATACCAACAATCTTCTCAGCCTGCCGACAGAACGAACCAACGCAAACTAATAGGAAATTTTTCATTTTGCTTTAACATAGAATTTCCACCGTTGAGGAAAATATGAGAAAACAAATTGTCTTCGCTTAATTTTAACCAAACGATCTTCATCATTAACACTTAACCGCTTTTTTCTTCAATCGCCTATACACATATTTTTGAAATACCTGTCTACTTTCGTGTCTGTGTGGGATTTCAAATTTTCAATAAAAAAAACTCATAAATCGTCTTTCTATTCTTGAAATTTTACTTTCAAATATCAATAATAACAATAATAACAAAACTAATCGCCGATCAGAATGTCTCAAGGCATATCCGCAACACAGCCAATGCGCGACGTTCCACTTTCGGGGATCGAGGAACATGGCGACTCTACGCCTGAGACACTTAAAACCGGAAATTCGAAGGCAAATTCGTTAAAGCGTTTTTTCAAATTAACAAATAAACGACACAGCGCGGGGGAAGAGCTTCCAACCAGCTCCAGTGAGGTAATGCCCGAGGATGGTAGACGGTCGAAAGACGATACTGATAAGGATGCTAGTGGCGGTAGTGGACTGGAAAAGGATGACGAAGTGGAGAAACCGAAAAAGGAACACCAGCGGCGTTTTAATTTGCGTCTAGGTGGCGTCACTCGAATCGGTGCGTCAAAATGGCGTTTACCTAATGTCTGTAAGCAACTAATTGTTGATTGTAAATTTTTCTGATCTTCTCTTGTGCGGGGTGCAGTGGAACACGCCAATACCGAGAACTTCATGGACAGCGCACCAAGTCGGCAGTCATTGAAGAACTCCATTTCCAGCTATTGGCATACCGTCTTCAGACGCGTCAGCAAGAAAGCAGCAAAGCGGACAGCCGGTCAGAATGACGAGAATGACGGTGACGTCGAAGAGGAGGTGATTGAAAGAGAGTTGGATGAGCAAGTGCAGACGTTGTCTATCTCAGAGGACACTATCGAGCAGGTGATTCAAGCGATCGAGTAGAATGGTGTGCGGTAGATGGCAAGAAGGGAGTGCGGATGGAGAGGCATGAATGACAGAAATTTGAACATTCTAGGATGACTTTGAGAAATTATAGGAGGGAAGAACATGTAGGCGACGACACTTGAGCGCAACAGTTGAAGTGCGCAAACTCTCGCAATTTGCTAAAATCTTTATGTGCATTATTTTTGTTTTCAATTTAACCAGACTGCACTGCAACTGCCACCATATAATTTTGTGCAATTTGTAGCAAATTTATTTTGTTTAAAAAATTTGTCATATACCCTAAAACAAACAAAAAAAATTATGTTTTCACTGCCAGTTAACGCATCGGCGTGAATTGGAAGGAGTTGCATGCATGACTTGCCTGAGTATTTCACTTCTTTCGTAATTGAAACGCCTAAAATAACAATCAAAGTTCAAGGTTCAGTTAAACCAACCGGAAAAGAACTCGTTTGCAGCTGTTACCCCAACTACCCGATTGAAGTCTCCCCCAGTCTATGTCTATGCTGGCGTGGCGTAACGTGTAAACTAACCCGCCCATGTAGTCTGTCTCAGTGGTGTTTGTTCGTTTAATAGCACCTTATTGTGGCTATCACTGTCCGATTATCCCTGCTAACCATTTGCTAATCCAATGTTGTCTCCAACATACAAACAGAGGTCAAAGTTAAAGGTAATCGATACTTTGCTTGTGGGCAGCATTTTCAGAGGAATTTAGCACAAATGGCCAACAGCTACATACATACATCACATACATGCCATCCACCCTACTTTAATGCAATATGACATAATGTATGTATGTATGTAGAAGCTAATATTTTTCCTGTGCTTTTACCTTGAATTTGCAAATTTTCATTTGGTATAATTTTTAGGTATTTTTTGCTTTGTGCTGAAAATTCGACTCGATCGAAACGAATCCGTAGCAATGCTGAACCAATCCCTTGGTATTTATGTACATAAACATGTATGTACAAGTTTATGGATATGATTTATGAATTTTATTGCAAGTATAATTTCTTCATGCCTGCGCGTAAGCATTTTTCTTCTACATACATACATGCTTATATATGTTTGTGGTTAAAGCATTTTAAAACCTTGGCGGCATTTTCCGCTTTAATTTGTGGTAAATATTTACTATATTATCATATCAAATCTGAATTGCAATCACCCCTTTTTAAGTTGTGATGTTTAAATGCGTGTTAAATAACTGTAAATTGATATTCAGTCGAATATAAAGAATTAAGTAGACATTTGTCCATTTATTTGGAATTAATAATATGTATTTTAGAAGAATTCGCCGTTAATAAAAATTATTCCAAGTCAAGCTAAGTACTTTATGTCAGGGCAGTTTTCATCCCTAAAGATTGTACCTAATATCACAAAATAAATGCACCTAAATGAGAGAGAACGTACCTAAAATAGTTACATCATTCGTTGTATGGTTCAAATAGCTATTGTCTCAACTAAAGAAAATATGAAATTTGAAGAAATCCTACACACTGGGTTGTATGGGCGTATAAAATTAATAGAAAAGTTAAAAATGTTATCATAAGCGGAGAAATTCTGCTTTTGTGGTTTTAATAGATTAAAGAAGTAATTTGTAAGCAAAAAAAAAAAACCGACTTCAATTCTCATAAAAAAAAAATTTTTATATATGTAAATATGTATATATATCTCATGATCCAATTTCATTTATTAAACGGATCGGATCTAAACCAGATTAGTATGGGACCACCTTTGAGACACTACCTTTCCGATGCGATCGGTTGACGTGGTGCAAAGTTATGCGGTAACATACATAAAAAAAAAATATTCCGACGAACTGATAACCTCCTCTTTTTTTGGAAGTCGGTTAAAAATGCATTCCAACAAAGGTAGGGGAGTACGTCGGTCTAGGGAGCAATGACGTTTTCTGGAAGAAATTAGTTCAAATTTCGAATTTAAAAAATATAACAAGAATTATAATTTGCCGATAGCTAGGTAAAGTGTTAATTTTTTGTAGTGACTGTTCTGAATGCAATGTAAAATGTTTAAGAGACTACATGATGGCTGAATTTCTTTATTCATTCTGAATGTTTGGAATAAACTTTTTTGTTTACTTATTCTTTCGATCGTTCCTGATGATATGTTAACGTATATTTAAACGCATTCTGTTTACTCTGGCTGTGAAACGAGATTATTTGGAATGTAAAAAGAAACGCAGCCAATATGATTTTTTTAGTTTCCTTCTTTTGACCAATTTTCTTTAGAATTGTTTATACTACAAAATGAAAGCGAAGCCTACGTTGCAAAATGTACCGTATTTGCAGGAACTAGGTTCAGGACTAGTTTGCATTGAAACAGGCTGCCATAAGATGGACAAGGTTAAATCGACTCTTCTATGTAGTTGTTCTTATCATTTTCTATACCATACCATTTCTTGTTCATGAGAAGTATAATAACCGAAAGGCAACTATTACCTGTGTACTTCACATAACGCCATCAGCAAGGCAAGTAGGTTTAAGGAAATGCTCCAAACTCCATTTAAATTGGCTAGCTGCTGTTTACACCGACTACATACCAGTACTTATGCACTTATGGTAATTCATGTTATTCAACACACATTCCTTATGCTACACACTCTTGCACTCCAATTTATCACCATAATCGTAAGCAGTTGTTGCCGATAACTTTTTCGTTGGGCAGGATGCTATTGTTTCAACAAATAAGCGAAAAATAACTACAAATGTACATACATACGATGCATGTAATAGAATAAATGAATGAAATTTAACAAGTTGTAGTTTCCATTGAACAATGGGCAACGCAAAAAGTACTATAAAAAAAAAATGAATTGGATTATCAGGTGGGCGACAATAAATTGGACTAACCAACTGACCCACCAATGGACCAATGAAACAATGCATTGGAAAACAGTTAGCTAGAATAACTTGTATTTGCTTTATTTATTTACCTCCAAATGGCAACATAATAGCAAATACTTTAGTGAAATGTTAACTCTATATTGACGCAAGGGCAAGTGAGTACACAATTACATACCTACTTATGTATGTACTTGAAAATAAAGTTTTGGGTATTTGAAAATCTGAAATGAACCTAGAGAGAAAAACAAATTTTTAACCCAAAAAATATTCGGTAGGTGGCGCTCGAGTGTAGATTTACATAAATATTGTATTCACTGCCCAATTTAATACATTTTCGCAATAGACATTACATGCGTGAAAGGATATATGGCATTATCCCCAAAATATATCAGATTTGAATATGTAGTAGTATATCGTTCCCAAACTAAACCAGGTACAACTTTAGCCCTTACAATACTTTCAACCGATCTGTCTTAACATTTTTGTTCAGACTATAAGATATTAATTCAAAACTAGGAGTGTGAGATATTGTCGAGATTTCACCGTTTTTTAGTTTTAGTTTGCTTAGAACGCTGGGAATATAGTACGTCGATTAAGTTATAAGGCACAAAATTACTCAAAAGAAATTCTCCTGCTTTGGAACTAAAACGTGACTACACATTTTTAGATATTTTTTTTTGTAAATATTTTATTAGCTATAAGGCACTGTGAAACGATTGGGCGTTTGCCCAAATTATGGTGTAAATACTTAGTATCCCAAGCGAGTGAATATACATATGAATATTTTTCTTTATCCCAATCACGAAAAACAATTTCCCAGTGGGAATTAGGAGCACGTAATAATACCTTATTAGCAACTTACTCTTCACCTGGCAGTCATTACCATTTCCCTGCCGAACGTCCCTTACTTTTACAAAGGCATGGCCGCCTTATGTAAGTAGGAATTTAGAATGTACATTTGGTATCAGACATACTTCTGAGCCGCTTTACAAAGTAAGTTACGTGTAATGCAGAGCAGTCGCTCGGAGTAGTTCGATGGTTGGAAATAACTTCGGCTGCACGTTATTTTGCAACTGACAACGTAATGTGTCTTCGGAGGTGTTCATTTTGCCCTTTACTAGTAGATCACATTGGCCATGATGACAATTTTGGTACTAAAAACTGAAAGAAAACATGGCTTACCTCGCAAGGTGCTTACCTATTTTCCCAGTGGGTTGTTCAATTATTTCAATAGAAGTTCGCTGTATTTGTAAAAGTCATGTGACTACAAAAAAATTGTCGTCCCATGTTTTTTATTTTGTACCAGTAGCCCAATATAAATAATTTACAAATCTGTACAAATGTATCAATCGTGTGACACTGCGTTCACTATTTAATGGGGCAATAATTTTTCTATAACCAATCTATTTTATAAAAACCGATTGGTCGTGAAACAAATGAAATGACCTTGGACAAATGAATGCGAGGGAATAATATTCGCAAGCCTTTTGAAATGCCAGTTAAAACTTCACAATACAAAGAGTTTTTATGCATTTGTTTCACACGCTTTTTTTGACAACTCGATAAATTTTAAAAACATGATATTAGATACCTCGATACATTTCGGTTAGTCGGTAAATTCCAACAATTCGATACGTATTGATAGCTCAATGAATTTCAATAACATTAAATACCGACAACTCGATAAAATTCGAGCGTTGCCCCCGCCACGATATCAAAATCGTGCATGGCGACTTCAATGCCAGGGTGAGTAAGGAAGGGATCTTGGAAAATTCAGCCTCCTCGACGAAACGTCCGACAACGGACGTAGGGGCCCCGAAACATGGTAGTCTGCAGTACTAGGTTAAAGCAATTCATCAACCTACGTGGCTGTCTCCCGATCGAAAAACGAGAAACCAAATTGATCATTTTGTGATAGACGGAAGGCACGCTTCCAGTATTTTAGACGTACGCACACTCCGAGGCCCAAACATCCACTCGGACCACTATCCTGTTGCAGCCAAGATACGCACCCGCCTCTGTGCAGCAAAAAATGTGCGCCCAAATATGCAAGGAAAGCTTAACGTCGAAAAGGTGCAATCACAACAGACAGCCAGCGCTTTCGCTACTCGACTCTCACACCTGATCTCACAGAGCTCT